CTTTTTGGTCACGAGATGACTACTGACATTTTTACCGAGAATGATAAAGCAGATAGAGATTAAGTTCGTACAATAATAAATGTGCAATTAAATTTAATGCACAGGTAAGTATTGTTATGAACAAAATTTAGTAAATAATTATCTTAATAATATATGCAAATATGTATACAAACCGAGTTGCTTTATTTGCTGAACGCAGCAATATTGTCAATTGCAATGCAGATCACGATCTATAATGTGATTGGACAATCTTCAATCTCAATCTTAATCTCAATCTCCAATGCGTAGTCTGATACTGGCTTAATACATCGCCGATCCCAGCTAGAGTCCTAGATTATCAGAGAAGCGCTACCGGTGTTACGAGTCCTGATTGGACTCGCAAATGGCCAATCATAAGATTGATTTATTGCTATTATAAATGGCTACCGAATAAATCAATCTTATGATTGGCCATTCGACGCCATTTTTAATATTTTCTAGTACTTTTGCGATACTGCCATAAGCCGGTCGCGCTTCTCTGATAATCTAGGACTCAATCCCAGCTAAATCTTTGACTATATATAGTCAAAGAGCTAAATCGCAAGCATGACGCATGACCGCTCTCAGGATCCTCTCTTGACTCTACTTTAATCTGTGGTCTGTGGATATGGATCAACGCATGCGCACTAAAAACTTGTGACATCGAAAATAGCGGAGTATCGCATCTGTGTGTAATCAATCTGTGACGGAAAGAGAAGATTATAATTTTTGTTAACCTCACATAAATATTTTGTTATTGTGAGGTGAAAAATAATGAAAACATGTCTACGGTGATTATTTGTAATTTTATGTCACGTAACTGAAATTATAAATAATGTTAATTATTTAATACACAAAATCTTACTTAGATTTCAATTCTTAATTTTTATATTTTAAGTTCTTCAATTTATTATTGGTAGTAGTAGTAGCAATTAAGATACAAGCAATTGTATCTTTATTATCGATATTTAATACAATTTTACGAGCTCCTTTTAAAATTTTATTTAGTTAAGTAAGATTTGATAGAAATAAGAACATTTTAAGAAATACATAAAACAATACATGATTACGCTGTCGTTAGTGTTAATATGTATTAATATCATTATCATATTGTTAAAGAAAATATAATTTTTGTTCAGCGACCTGACGATCACCGGAGGAAATGGAACCGAGAGGAGTATGAAAGGATTGCACTTCAAAGACTTCAAGATGAGATTGCGGAAGAAGAATTAGGAATTCCCAAACAACCAGCAGTTAAAAGAGAACTGCTGAAGCAAAGAGATTACAAAGTTGATCTTGAATCTAAACTAGGAAAGAGTGTTGTTATCAATAAAAATACACCATCATCACAAACCGGAGGGTAAAATTCAACTTCCAATTATTTTATAAAAAGTATCAAATATATAATAATTATATATGTTCACTTTTAATAATTATAATATATAAATAATTAATGTATAAATTTGTTGCATCTATTATATATATAATATATATATATATATATGTATGTATATTTTATTTTTTATATAAATATTGATTATAAGGTCATAATATTTTTGTCCATAGGTACTACTGCAATGTTTGCGACTGTGTTGTCAAGGATTCAATCAATTTCTTGGACCATATCAATGGGACAAAACGTAAATTTAAATAATTTCAGAAAATTGTAATGGAATTAAAATAGCTTTATTTTAATTAAAATTCTTAATTTTTTAACCAGATCAACGTAATCTTGGCATGTCTATGAAGATAGAGCGATCTACATTGGATCAGGTTAAGGCAAGATTTGCACAGAACAAAAAAAAGCTCGAGGAAAAAAAGAAGGATTACGATTTGGAACAAAGAGTGAAGGAATTGAAGGAAGAGGTTTGTTTCTTCTAAGATCGTATTTTGAACATTTTTTCGTTTGCTGTATACTCTTTTAACAAGATTATCTCTATTATTAGGAAGAAAAAATCAAAGAGTATCGAAAGGAGAAGCGAAAGGATAAGAAGAGGAAGATTGAAGAATTGTCCGAGGACGATGCAGGACCTTCTGACGAAATGGCCGCGATTATGGGGTTTTCTGGTTTCGGCTCGAAAAAAAAGTGAACAACTGAAGCTGTCAAGCGTTTGTGAACTGCTATTTAAAGAAGAAAATATCGTTTCTTTAGAAAAGATCAGAGCCGATACAATTTGAAGACTGGTGGAAAAATGAATAATCTTATTTTCAATTATGACGAATAGTCTTAATTCCAATTTATAATTGGAATTTAAGGAGATGATTTGTCAATTTTTGTACATTTACCATGACTTTCATTTTTCCATCATTGTTATAAGAATCGCGTTTTTTCAAAACGACAAAGGAAACTATCAATTACAAGTCCGACCAACGTGAACGTAACAGATCACGAGCTTAAATTGACTAAGTAATTAATTAAGAATTAATTAAAATTAATTAAGATTATTTGGGGTACAAATTCGTAATATAAATAATTTAAGTGTATCTTTAAAGCAACTTTATGATAACTCCGACAAACTCCTTCACTACGAAAGTGCAGGATTTTATGCTTGGCCAAAATAAAACGCGTGTGACGTGCGCGCAGAAATAGAATTTATGAATGCAAGTGTGCAATGCATCAGTGCAAATAAAATTTAGTACCAATATTTTCCTCATATTCTATTTAAATCACATATCAGTATCTTAATGCTACAGAAAGCTTTTAATGGATATTTTTTTGTTTATTTTAATTCCGATGATAAAGATTATATTAAAAAGAATTATATTAAAAAGAAAATATGATCGAGAATTTCTATCAATATTTATCACGATCGATCTATTTGTAGTGTTCCAAGTAACGTAAATTTTTTGAATGTATAACAAATATGCTACACTCGTAGAGCATTAAATCAAGACTGTGGAAAATTTGTAATAATTAAATTAAGAAAACTTCATTTCTCTTTCTCTCTCTGTCTCTCTCAAACAACCAACACAATTATACAATAAAAATAGAGTCAATGTATTTGTGTATAAATTGAATTATTTCCCGCACGAATCCTGTAGAAATCACACTTCTGTGCAGTATATAATTTCTACTTCCCAGTGTCGCAAAGTCAATTAGCTATACTGTAAGGCTATATTAACTTATAATAGTAATGCTCTATCTTTTTTAAATTAAGCACCATTTTCAGAAATAGGCAAAACCTTACGAGCTGCATAAGTTTTATTTCATCAATAAAAATGAATAAATCAATCAAATTTTACAAATATGTCATTTATAATCAAGCTATATTTTCAAATATGAATTCGTAAAAATTTCTTTAAAAAATACATTCTCAAGTAAAATTATAAAACTGAACATTTATTACATAGTTAGTGTAACATTTGATTGATACAATTGTTTGGTAAGGCTTCTTACGCGTGATATTTAAGAAAATGAATAAAACTAAAATTGTTGGATTATTTTCACAGGATTGCGAACTGCGTAATGTTACTATTTTGATAGTTTGCATAAAATAGAAGATAGGAAATACGATTTTATAATTTCGGCTATGAGCCATAAAAATTTCTACTTCTCGATGTCGCAAAGTCAATTAGCTATACTGTGAGGCTATATGTTAACTTATAATTTATAATAATAACGCTCTATCTTTTTTAAACTGAGGACTATTTTCAGAAATAGGCAAAATCAACAAGCGAGTCGCGGATCACTGGTTTATAATATAAATTACAGTATGCGCCTTGCCATTGTCAATGTCAGCCTCTCGTGAAGCACAGAGACAATTCGTGCAAATTCTCGAAGTCCCGTAAAACGAAAGTAGTAAATTCTTCCTCCTCTTTCTTTAAAATATATTTTCCTTCCGCGGGCTCTTTCCTTCTCCCTTGAAAGATCCTCTCGCGAGCTAGAGGGAAGGAGGGAGATCTCCACGGCTGTCGTCTCCCACTTCGCGAAGGATCAGGATCCTCTACTGCGGAGGGGCTCCACGGACCGCGAGGGCCTGCAGATTCCGGGGACCGGAGCGACGGCGCAGTGCCGGTGTCGACATGCGACCGACGTATACAACTCTCTCACAACGCGGTGCTCTTTCTCGCAGCAGCGACAGCTAGGCAAGCTCGCGCGGCGTTTGCAGCCCGTTATTCGAAAGTCCGCGGAAGCCGCGCGTGTCGGAGTCGCGGCGCGTCGTGCCATACCGTGCCGACTGCCGTGCCTCAGTTGCCCGCCGCACGTGTTGGACTCGCGTGAAGTGACGCGACGTGACGTGCGAGCCGTCGCACGTGCCACCGAAAGTATCCCGTATAATCCGTTCTCCGCGTCCGCCCATTTCGCGTCCGACAGCGATCATCTCGATCATTATCCGTAAATCGAATCTGAGTCGTCTGAGACCGATGGACGCGCATCTTCATCAGGAGAGACGAGAAGAAAACCAGTGAAGTTTTTTTTTCTTGGAAAAATTAAACAAATGTATATTGTTTCTCGGAAACGAGAATATACTTGGAAGAAACAGAAAAATTGAAGCTACAGAGAAGAATGCCTTAGAGTGGTTTGGCGAGGATATTTTTTTAAGAAAAGGAGAAGTGATTGTCTCGAGAAATAGTGCATGATGAATAAATAAAAAAAAGGATGTTATACATTTCAATACTGGAGGTGGACACAAGTTTGGACAAAAATTGAATTAATTGCTTGAAAAAGGAACAAGACCGCTGTGTTGAAGGATAGTTTCTATCTGGGAAAAAAAAATTGGCACTGCGATTTTATTCGTATTGAGAGTTGGCTCTTCTCAATAGATTAATAGAACATTCTCTAAAATCGTTCCGTTCGTCTAAAAAACGTTCCGTCTACAGATATAAAAGAAATATGAATTGATTGATTAAAGCAAATCTCAGTATCCAGAATAATTGTCTTCTTGCGTGGAGTTTGGAATAATCACTTTAAAAAAAAAGACGCTCGAATCATGTAAAGAAGCGAAACTTTATCAAGTAAAAACACTTTAATATTATTCTCTTTTATGAGCTTCAATAAACTTCTCGGAGCAGCTTTTGGGCCAAATTTGGAATAATTATATCTTCACTTCTTTGTAACAGTCAGTAAATTTTTTTACTGATTACCTCCAAAAGAGCGTTCATGACATCTCTTCACGAAAAGATTTTAACGTTGAACAACTTCTTCTAATTACCGCTAATACCGTTATTCCTGTCGTGAATTGAAGTTTAGAGTAGTTTCACGAAAGAGACATCGACCGATACGTTCTTCTGTGTGCTTGGATTTTATGAGGGATCTCTTGCCTCGTTCCCTCCGAATTTTATAATCAATTATATTAAATCAACCGGCTGTCTAATGTACGCTCGCGAAAAATGCGACAAGCAGCCACGGCGAGTCTATCGGACTTGACACGGAACTCAACGGATTGATGAACATCGACGGTGACGGTTTTACGAGCGTCTCGATCACGGTTCGCGGGCACCGTACAGCGCGGCATTCGTTTCGACTTGAAGAAGTTAAGACGTCAAGAAGAAAGACGTCGGGATGTCGCGAACTCTGCAGCCAATCGAGGAATCCAATCCCGGCAAGTCATCGGGTAAGACCTCATTCACTTTTTTGATGACGATTTTTCAATTAACCTTTCTTGATATTATTGACTTTCTTAACACCACACCAGTAAACGAAAATGTATTGAAATGGATAGAAATAAATTCATTTCGATATTTCCAAATTGGCGCTTCTGATTTTTTGAATCCATTTGAAACTAAAAAAAATATAACACGGACATTAATACATATCAGAATTCAACATGGTGAATATTCATTTCGTATTTTAATTTATTTAAATTTAAAAATAATATAATACAGACACATGAATACATCCGAATTCAACATGATGAAGAGGTCATTTTGTATTTCGATTTATTTGAATCCAAAAATAATATAATAGGGACAAGAACACCCAAAAAATAATTTTAATATTAGTGGAATCCGCTAAATCTTAGAGGATTTTATTCTTGTATATGGCCTCAAGAGGAATCCTCTGAAATTAAAAGGAGAATATTCTCTGCGCAATATTCTAATAGTTAGAATAATTTCGTCTTGCATTTACAGTACAAATCTTGTACTGTAAATCTATATTTATAATTCACATTATTTATACTGTAGTTTTTCAGTATGTACAATGAATAACGGAACGCAGCCTTACTGCGTCTGTTTTTGCAAATGCAGCGCAACACTTCAATCAATCGTCACGGCAGAACGCAGCGATACACATTGCTTTTTGTGTTATTCATATCGCATGCGACAAGAGAGGGCATTTCGCTTGAAAAAAACATATTCCTTTTAATACAAGAGAAAAATCGAAAAATAATATCTAATAGATTTTAGATGAACAGTTCACTATTGAAAGAAGAATACTCTTTCTGTAAAAGTTTTCGCTTAAAATATGGGATTAGAGGAAATTTCACTTTATAACTAGAATTTTTTTTGGATGAATGCATCTTCGGACTTTAAAGCGCCAACTCGGATAAATTAAAGTGAAGTGCAATTTTCAATTTATTTGAATTAATTTTCGTTTGCTGCTCTTCAGGAAGAACTATATATATCTATAAGGATGTGTCACCCATATAACAGCCTCTGCGAAGTAAATTAAAATTGGAAATGTAGAAATATTTATATTTTAAACAATATACATAAAAAGGGTTGTGTGTGACTATCATGTATTTTTATTTAATAAGACATTTTGATAGTTTATTTACTTTATTTGTTATTAAAAATTAAATTGCTTGAAAATGCAATGACAAAAATCTAAGTTTTTTTTAATAAGTAGGGTAAAATAGCGTAATTTGGTCATATAGTGTAATTTGGTTAACAACATTTTTTGAGCTCTGTAGTTCGCACTAGATAGTTGACGTTTATGTCATTTAAATTGTCATTGTATTAGCTCACTTTTGATGAGACATAAAGTTGAATAGACGTGTTAATTTTTGCTAATTTTTGTTAATTTTTTTTTGTTAAGTTGACCAAATTACGCTATACTCCCCTATTTTAACATTCAAGATGATTTACACAAAGTTTTATTGCGATGCAAAGATTGTTCTGTAAATAAACAAACAAATAAATTTTGTTAATTTACAGAACAACTATTTTCATTGCAATGAACTTTATATAAATTATATCTTGAATTTAAGGTATTTATATCGAAAGATTGAATTTTTTTGTCATTATTTCTTAATTATATTTTCATTAGAGCATACTTGTATTTTTTATTAAAATAATTTTTTTTAATCCAAGTTTTAAACCATCATTAAATTTTTGTATTACTTTTAAATACAGCGATCTAGAGTAATCTGTCATTTTTCATATTTTCATTGTTTTGAAAATACATGTATATCCTTAAGAAATTCAGGGTTAATAAATCAGAGATTAAATAAAATAGAGATTGTTAAATCTTTTACATACAGGCTCTCTTATTAAAAAAAAACTAATTAGATTAAATTTCTTTTTAGAATAAAAAAAATAAATAAATTATTAAAATCGGATTCATAAAATTCATGTTTCATTTTGCTCATAAAGAAGAAATTAAAATAACGATAAAATGAATACTAAAATGGCCCAAATTACAAAAAAGTCTTTTTTCTTTTGCGAAATATGATATTTGAAATATTTAACGCGCTCTCTTTTC